CTATCGACAAATACCTATGTAACTCAGTGATTTATGTCATTTACAATAATTTTTGCACTATGAATTCTGCAATAGAAATAGCATAATCGATCATCGTTCATTAAGACGTTAGTATATAACATTGTTTTTTCATTTGATATGAAAAGATCATTGTAAAATAATCTTATTAAATAATCTGAACTCTCAATGAAGAAAAGAAAATGGAATGAATCAATTCATCTGAGAACATATCACATTCTGAAATACATTGGAATAATGTTGAATTAGAAAAATCTTGAGAATAAAAGAACGTACAATCATATAATGAAGTTATCTTATTAAACCGAGCAGAGCATATCACAACTTGTTTCGAGCTTTCAATAATTTTATTATAGAGTGTGAAAGCAGTTCTGATAGGTCTAGATTTACTCGAAAAATGTTTTATTTAAATCACTTTCATCAATAAAAATTGTTACAACCAATTATTTTTTATCACGATCGTGATTATGACTTACAAACATTCTGTTAATTATATTAGTTCTGTCTGTTACAAAACGGCTACCCATACGGGTGATATGCAGAAGCAGACTTATTCATGTCGTTAAAGTTCTTCTTTACTTAACGAACAGAATGAAAATAAAAGACGAAATTGTTTATTTCGATAAAAAATAAATCGTATCATTTTGTTCGCAAACTGAAAGCTGAAATCAAGAATGTATTAACTGAATACATGTTATTCTTGCTGATGTAGATCATTTGAGACTGCTAACGGACCATTTTTTTATTAATCTTATCGAATGTGTTCTTGCTGTTTTACCGTATTTATCTACTGTCAACGACAATAAAGAATAAAATAAAAATTTTCTTGTTCTTCTGAAGATTTCTACAGGTTACAACAGATTGTTTTAAGACAGTTTTTTCTCAATCCGTAGATTTACAAAACATATATTGTTAACTACTGTGGGAGAGATTATTTGAATAGAAACTTTACTTTGTCGATTGACTTGTTTATCAAAGCACTGTTGTTTTTTATTTGACAATCAATTCAGTTAGCAGTAGCTTTTATTCTTAACTCAATACTATTTTGATACTTATTTTTCAGGATGGTTTCTTGACCGAATTTACATATCCATTAGATGATATAGTGGCACTGATGCATAATATTCTTCTTATTCATTTATCTGCACTTCGATCTCTCGACTTGAGAATGAATTATTATGGAACATGTTGCCCTATAGCTACTGCAATTGTTCCTCTTACCTATCTGCGTCTGACTTTGTCATGAATGAATACTTTAATTCGTCTCATATCGACACAATCACTCTCCCAAACATTACGCCAATTTCACATAATAATAGGTAGCAATCATTTCAACCTTCATTCTCATATATCAATATCTAATCTTCCCATTCGAACGGTTAATTTACATAGATTTACTTTTATTCTAACATTTTTTTTTCGATGACAAAAATTGAATGGACAATTTTCGAAATGCTGACATCTTCGAATGTTATGCCTGTTCTTTGACGGGCCAATGTGTCCATTTGTATTAATATTAATGATTTAAATCGTATTAGTTCATCACCTCTTTTTGCTAATCATCGTCATATCGATGTTCATTTCTCTTTTAATCTTATCAATTGTTCTCAATACATCAATGAAACACAATATACACTAGGTGGGAATTGTTTTTCTTCCACAAAAAATAGTTGATGCAATATTTGTCATTAATCATTGGTGTGATAGATCACAATGGCTCACTAATGATGATCTTTTTGTAAGTTATTGTTCAATAATATTTTTATCCGCATTTTACGTTCAAGTTAAAATACAAAAAAAAAATCTTCGTTCTTTTCTTCATAATCTAACTTTCAAATAGTTATATGTTAGTATGTTCTTTAGATTTATAGAGTCGTGGACATTAATATCATCATCATATGTGATATACTCTATCGTGGATATTTGATGAGTTCTTTCATGAATATCTTCCAGATAGATGCATCATTAAACATAAGTGTTTGAGTTACCTTCGCAAAAAATTATGACATTTCATCAATCATCTTTTCATAAATTAGATGCATCACGTCAAATGTTCCCATTACCTATATGTTCTTTACCTTATTTGGTATCATCCGATTGCATTGAAACAATGCACTTGATTTATTATAATACATCTACTTTCATACATTTATCCGCTCTTCGGCATGTGAATCTTGCAAATAGTAATAATCGTCTCAACGATAGATCTTCATTTCCACTGACTATTCATATTCTGCTTTTTTTAATAATTATCCTAACAACAGACGTGTCTCCATCACGAAAAATAATGTATGATTAAGTGTGTATCCAATCGGAGATCAACATAGTATGAATTGGCAATGGAGGTTTTTATGTTGTGAGTTAATGAGATTAAACATATTCTGATTAGATTAAATACCTCAGCACTAAACTGAAAAAAGCTCAAAACAGATGAGCTGTTGATAGGGTACACGAACCGAGACATACGAATTTTAAGGTAGTTACAATGTATGTAAGATGAACACAATTCACAACTTCAGCAGAATAACTTTTTTCTCTTTTGGTTATGATTGAATAGACTGCTTCGAGTTGCATAAGAAATTGTGTTTCATACTTGAAAAATAAAATAAATTTTACGAAAATCAAAGATTTGGGTGCGCGCCTCCTATATTAGCAATTAATGGTATCTTGAAATTTTCGTAAATTTTTTTTTTTTAATTTTGAAACACATTGTCTACTGCAACTCGATGAACTCTATCCAATGATCACGAAAAAAGAAAAAAATGCATTCTGCTGACACTATGAATTGTGAATATCTTACATACATTGTAAATAGTTTAAAATTCGAAAACTTCAATTCATACATGCCATTCTTTTTAAATTGCTGGTGGTTGGGTTCAGCTCAGCCTAGCCTACCCTGGTTACATCACTGATGTGTCTCCAAGGATCATTGTGTATTCATCCGATCTGCAGAAAAAATTGGCAGATACCGCTTGTCTTCATATTATGGCTATAAATAGATCTCGTTGAGATAAATAGAAATTTTAAGTGATTCGAATTTATGACCTATTGATGAAGACTTATGGTCATGTTAATGAAATTATTACTGAGAGCAAAGCGTTTTCGAAAAAAAACCCAAAACAAAAAAGTTTCAACAGAAACTAACATGTCTTTCTCGGCATATTCAATTTTTCATTTCAATTGAAATTTTTAGGATAATCTAATGACAAATAAATGTGCCTGTAGACCACATTTCACGTCAACACTTTTTGTTTTGAGGTTTTCAGAAATGCTTTGCTTTCAGTAAAAGTTTCATTAAACAAGACCACAGATCTTTATCAATAGGTCATGGATCCAAATCACTTGAAACATTTCCTTCTCTCATCAAAATCTACTTCAGGCCATAGTATGAAGTCGATCAGCATTCGACAGTTGAATATGCTTTCTCGTTAGTCACAGTCATTTCTTAAATAGCACTGCATTATATTCTGAAAAGAAATTATCAAATAAAATGAACTACAACATAACTTGATCTTTAATAATTATTAGCTCAACCATTTATAAAAATAAATATATGTGTTAAGAATATTTCATACAGATCAGAATTACAAATATTGTGAAAATCTGTAATTTTCAATTATTTTTTAGTTTTATATTTATATATTGAGTTTATGAATACATTAGCAAATAGAATTAATTTTATTTGTTCATTAATAAAATATTCATTAAAGTTTAAATATATAAAAACAAAAAGGTTGAGCAATAATAAAAAAATATAAGACAAAATGCATCTAGAACAGTTATGCGCGGGTACTTGCACTCCAGGACGAAGATGTTACACAAATTCTACCTTACTTTTCGAACAGATAATAATAGCTAGAGTAAAAAAAATGAATCTTTCAACAAACAGCTACTAAATTCGATTGAAAATTCTCATACAGACGCTAATAATCAGTTAAAGTATATCGGACATTTACTGTCGTTCTACTTCTATTTGTGTATTTTTCTTCAATGGATTTTTGTTTATAATCTTGTGAAGTCAAATCAACGGAAAACATCGAAAAGGATAATGTCAAAAAAAAAACACAAAGGAAAATATTGAAAGAATGCTATAGAATAAATAGATGCAGGTGTTAGTTTGAACCTTCTCTGCATCCTCAGGGGAACGTTGAATTTGAAGCAGTCAACAAACAAAAGCAGCTTTTTAACAATGATTTGAAACATTAAATATTAGATTTAAAAATGACGAAATAAATTCAAAACAGTTGCTAACCTGATAAACTTAATACATCGGAGGACACAAGAAAAAATAAGAGAAACATCTATTTGTAATTTTAATAATACCCTCTTTTACAAAAGGTCACCATGGTTGAGCGACTACATTCGTAGGCAGATATTCATAAAATACTGTGAGCACACCTCAGTATCACCAGCTATGAAATGACCATGGATAAATCACTAGCGGCTTTTTATCTCTGATACTATGCTGACTATATTGTGACATATATATGTTCTTATGGCTATTATGTAGTTCTGCCGTGTGTAAGAAGAGCTCAAATAATTGAGCACGAGAATTCTGCATCAGGTTGACTTTGTTTCCAGAGTTACTTCCAGTTGTGGTTCTAGGGAGGATATTGAGCTATTGAATCTGTCACATTGAGCAATGCTTCATATCACAAGGTAACCAAAAGGTAGAGACATTCTTCCTTCTTTCCTTTTTCCTATATTTTGAAACAAAACATCTGTTCGTTATTTCAGAACTAAAAATATCTCAATTTTGATATTTGCTTCTCACCTTTTTTCTCTATTCGACGTTTTCCATCAAACCACAGAGAATGGTTAGATACCTTATTCATATTGTTTTTTTCCTTCAAAAGTTTCTTCAACGAAGATCCATCCTAGGGCCAAAATATCCGAGCGTGCAACTGTCCGATTCTTAATAAAACAGCAGGGTTAAGCATCAATGACTAGATATATATATATATATTTTGCATTATTAATTTCTATTCATCATGAGTATGACAACGGCTATCTTTGAGATGTAATGCATCACATTCAAGTTTCTACGAAAGAAAAATAGAAACAAAATAAATTATTTGTATTTTTTCAATTATTTTTTACTTTCAGTGCTTCACGTCGACGATATTCCATTTTAGATTTTTCAACTCGTACCCAATATGGTACCTGTTCAACACTTGATCGAATTATTTTACAGAATAAAATCAATAAATGCTATGTAAAAAGAAAAATTGTTTTTTTTGTTTCTTATTGAGTATAATTGAAAAAAATAAATTACTTCCATACAAACAAGTACGAATATTTCTGTAGCAAATGGTAAATCAGGTAATAATCGACGAAGAACACCACGGACTGAACAAAACATACAATTAATAATAATAGCTACAATAACCATGTATTCCATTATTTTCTATAAGAAAAAAAAACAATTATTTTTTTTTTTTTTTTGAAATCTATTTCATTGTTTTTGTTGTAGTTACTTGCCAATTACCAATATCTTTAACACGTTGTGAAAATGGTCTTTGATATATCATACATAATTTAAATGCATCAGTACGAATTTCAATTAAATTATTTAATAATGAAAAAAATGCTGCTAATGGAAATAATGATGATAAAAATATAATATAACCAAATTGTATAACCATTTCTAAATAATCTTCATATAAATCTGGCCATTTTGGTTGTGAACATTCAATTTCAGCTTGTGATAATGATAATGTTTCAAACGTTAATAATGAACTACGACGATTAAAACAATTATCTGTTAGAATATCATCAATAGCTTTTGTTGTATAATCATGAGTTTCTTTTCGTTGTTCAGTTGTATTTAATTTTGAATTTTCCCATTCATCAAGAATACGTTTTAATTCTTTATTAAGATCTTTTCGTTCAGCATACCGTACACGTTCTTTTTTACTCATTTGAATTAATACTGATAAATGAGTATTTGAGACTATATATGGAATAATAGCTTCCTAAACATAAATAATTTTATTGAAAACTAAAAAAAAAGCACTTCGAAGACATAAAGTTCATCAACAATAATTTATTGAATAGATGATATCTACAGTGTTTCGTATGATATAATTAGAAAACATATGAAAATATTTTATATAATAGCATATATTTCTGATAGAGTGGCTTGATTTGAGTAGAGAATTTTATTTATAATAAGAGTTTTTGAAGAGAAAAACGATTGTCAGTGTGCTGAGAAAGGGGTCTCTGGAAAACAAAGTCTTTCAACTTCTAGAATTTGTAAATACAATTTTGGTTGAACTGTTTAGAATAATAGAGCAAACAAATCTCTACGAAATGACACGCTTTTTACCTCTCTAAAAAGTTTGTCGATCGAGACGAAAGAATAAAAGTCGTTTTTTTGTGTTATTTCGTATGGAAACAATATTTTTATGAATCCTGTAAAGTTGATTTGTCTCGGTCAAGAAATGTTGTAGACAGCTGGAAAATATTTCATTTTGTAGAGTATATTTTGCTCTATCATTTTAGATGATTCAAAAAGAATTCTATTTGCAAATTTTAGGAGCTGAAAATATTAAATTTTTGACTTTTCAGCGAACTTCTTCTCGACAAACCGTCAATCATGTTCATCTTCAATAACTCCTGTTGAAAATAAAATTCTCTACTCAAATCACTACTTCATTTCTTATTCGTGATTACAGCAGCAATAAAAATTGCAAATAAACCTGGTCAAATAGATTTAGTGATCTGCTGTAATTCAAAAAAGAAAATCTCTTGAAATCTAAGCCTCCGATAATTCTCATCATGGTTGTAGGAAAGAGTGTTTTGTAATAATCTTACTGCAGTCCAGATGTAGCAACTATAATGTCTTAGTTAAAAATGATTTTCTTATAAATTCATATCATTTGTAAAACAACACTCGACCAAATTCCATTCATCTTAAACTTCTAAAAACATGTGTCTTTAGCGTGTAAGTACTAGTGTGCATTTCATTGACACCTATATTCACAGTCAACTATATCCATGTTCACATTCATACCAGGGGGGGGGGGGAGCGCGACTCCAGTACTTCGAAGTACGTAAGTCACGCTTTATTCTTCTTGCTTCATATCGATATTTTCATTTCATTCTGTGATTTTCCATATTCAAGTATTCTATTCAGGTATCATAATTAACGATGCATGACAACCATATTTATTACTGCCAAAAGTCAACAAGCAAGATTGCAAGACTTTAAAATCGAAGTTTTTGAGAAGAAAAACGTCTATAATATCCTTAAAAGTTTCATGGTCAAATCAACTAACTATAATGTATTCGACATCAGACACTTTACTCTATCTAATTAGCTGTCAACCATGAAATTGATAAATTTGATCCTAATTAACTTTTTCTATGAGATCTTAAATCTAAAAAAAATGAAAGTTAACATCGATGAATTAAATGAGTGAAAGAAAATTGAGCTGAAATGTATGTGTAGCTTTGCTCAATACTGAAAGATGCTATTCAAAATTATTTCTATATATTAACCGGTAGATTTTATGCAATAATAATACTTTATTCGTCTTGTCTACTAGATATATCTTAAATGCTGTTTGATTGCTTTGTAAAATCCGCTATGATAGAATACTAAGAAGTATTAATAGTTCAACGATAGGTCTATGATATTTCTTTTCATTAGATTAATCATTATATCTTGCTAATAAAATCATTTGAATTAATCTAAAACAATAAATAATAAACATTTTTCTTACTTTAATATTTCCCCAAAATTGTTTGAGGACAAAAATAGTAGTCAATTGCTAAAATATACCAAAACAACACATATTCATGATCTCTTATTCTATGATCATACTTACATGAGACAATCGAATATATTTATGAGTAAAAAAAGCAATATAAAAAACACTAAAGTATGAATTCACACATGAACACTAGAATAGATAAAATAATATTATCATAATAATTTTTTTTTAAACGAATTAAAATTTACAGCAAATAATTTAGCAATCATTTGTTCATCATATATTCGTTGTTCTCGGTAGTTTTCTATAGACAAATATCAAACATCAGCTAAGAATATCAGTTTGATTTATTACCTTGATTCGTTAACCAACGAGAAATACGTTTATAAATATCACTAAATATCGTTGTTATTAGTGCTAATAAAATTTTTGGTAATAATTCTGTTAATGACATAAGATCTATTTAAAAAAACAGTTTTTTTTTTTTTTGAAAACTTTTTCAAATAATCTATTCATACTTGGTAAACGGCCAATTTTTAATTGTCTATCAATCCAATTTTGAAAACGTATAATAATAAGAATAAGAAATGAAACGAGTATAATATTAATACCAATCATTGGTATTGTCACAAATGAACGAAATAATAAACGTTTCCAATTCGGATAATAAACTTCAAATTCACCTGTTACAGGTGAACGACGTAATTCACCTTTATATGTTGATCGAGTTTCTTCGATTTGTTCCATATCGAGTGTATTCCATTTATACGCTAATTCAGCTTGTTGTCGACGCCAAAACATAAGAAAACCTGTTGCCCAAATGATATTTAAAAATGTATTAATGACAAATAATTTATCATCAAGTTCCTAAACAGTAAAAAAAAATAATAATTCATAAACTTATATCGAATTTTCTATAATTAGTATTAATACAACAATTATTTAGAAACTCGAAATATAATAATAAAGTTTATGAATAATTAATATTATTTATTATGATAACATAAAAGTCAGATAAGGAAATAAGAAATGTTTTATTTTAACTAAGTAATGTATTAATTAATTGAAAATGGTTGCAATCAAGACTGAATCAGAACCTTCGAGTTTGTTGCATGCCTATAATGTAATATGCTCTTAGTTTATCAGACGTAAAATAATAAATAACGAGTAATTTCTCGCCATTGTTTCATTAATAATATTGATATATAATCATCAAATTTCTATTAAATGTTTGATATATGTTAAAGTTTTCTCGATATGAGAAGACGTCAAGTCTGCTAATATGTCTAACCGTACAAACATTTCTGGAGAATCTTCAACTCCCGAAAAATCGATTGAAGTTTATTGATAACTCAGAGCTCTGTATGCTTGTATTCGGCATTTTACTAGATATTTTAAATATGCGAAAAGGTCGACAGTTATCTAGAAGAAATAGATATATGCTAGTCTCAGCAGGACTGGTGTCCGGAAGGATTCATGGCTGTCAAATTGTTGGAAAACATCTATTTTCGTACTTTGATCTTAAACTTTGTGCATATAGAGAACTCAACTAGACTAGCTTCCTTAACAAAATTCACAAGTTTTTAACAAAGTTGCTTCGAGATACGGAGCTTTCAAAAAAAAAAAAAGATCTTTTATACACTATTCATGGAAAAAGGTCTATACCTTGAAAGTCTCATATCTCGAGGAGGCTTTGTTGAAAACTTCAGAGTATTTCTATGGAATCAAACCTAGTTGAGTTTTCTATATGCACAAAGCTTCAGACTGAAAATACTAGATCTCTGAAAATCTGAGACCTCGGGAAAAAAATCATTAACAATGGAATGGGACATTTGATGTTTCCTGCTTACACTTGCCAGAGTTTTTTGTCGATTTTTATTATAGATGCAACGGTGACGATAAATCACTGGTCTATTGTATTTACGGTGCAACTTAACCGTTGTATTCCAAATCGAAAGTAAGAGATTGCATTTCCTCAAATATCAAATTTGATACTACAGCTATTAATATAGCTTATTCAATTGAATCTCATATTCCTGAAAATGTTTACTTCAGTTAAACATAGTGGAAATTATCCCTGAATTTCAAGTAACATTGATATGTAATAAAGAAGATGATTAATTAATTGCGTTTAGTCAAATTTATTATTGAGAAATAAAAATTTCTAGTACAACATATTCATATTTTTGTCATAATAATTGAAATATAACATTTTTTTTATTCTTCGCGCTTAGATCTATATGATTTTCATACTAAAACTTATTCTAATTTTAATTCAAAAATAAAATGCAATTCAATCAATCAATATTTAGTATCCAATCATGGTCATTATATGATTATCAATTTATAGATTTTATTCAAAATCAAACAATATCATGTGCAATAAAATCAAAATGGATACATTTTGAAGAATATTTATTTACATCAATTGGTTTAATAATAACATTAATGATAACACTTAAAATTCATTTAACTGAAATACGTTTTCAAGATTATTATGCTTTATTTCGTTGTCATATTATGAATATATCCATAAGTTCTTTATTTTTAACAACATTTTTATTTAATATTCATTCAAATGAAAATATGTGTAAATATGAACAAATTTTTCTACAATATTCTTCTATAATACTTTTAACAAATATTTTTCTTATCAGTTTATTTCGTATGTTTAATAATTTTCTTGAAAAAAAAATTCGTTTTATTTTATTTTTTTTTATTATTAATCTCATTATACAAACATTAATTACAATGATTTGGTTATTTATAATTAATAATAAACATATAAATTATTATCATCAAATTTGTTTTCATCAGATACAAATTGATTTATGTTTACATGCTCAACAACCATTATTATTATCAACAATATATTTTCCAATTATATTTATTTTAACAGCATTTAATGTTTATCATTTTACAAAACCATTTGCTATAGCACAATTACTTGAATCAATTATATCTTCAATTGGTCTTTTAATGAGTGGTAGTATGTGGTATATTGATTTATTTTTTTCAAATCATCCACAAATGCCTTATAGATATGTTGCTTATGTTTTTCTACTAACATATATGTTACCAAGGTAAATTAATAGTTGTTAAAAAAAAATCTTAAAATGAACTTCTGAAAGAATTGAGAATTATCTCGTAGACTGCGAGCATTGAGTCTAGAAACGAAAACTTCATATGTATCTGTCTATAACATTGGGATTTTGGTACAAATGATTGCGTAGGATCCCAAAAAAAGATATCTACGTATCAAGATTCAAACTAACCGAGAAATAGTATGTAGAGACGTGCAGAACCAGCTTTAGTCCCGGTCACAGCCAGGTTTAAGTCTTCTATGATTTTAAGCGAAATATCTTGTAAATGATATCAATCAGAATATAATTCAAGATAGATGATCCCAATGTGTAAGTCGTCGACAAAATAAAAATAAACAAGTATTGAACAATTTTTTAGATGTAATACGAATAGATTTTGGAATAACTCTTTCTAGACAGAGATTAAATTAGATTTACCAAAGTCATAGCCAGGACTACTAGGAAAGAAATTAATGTGACCAAAACCAAAAAGACTCAGTCCTATACATCTCTAGTAATATGCTTGGATGAAAAATACAAAATCCGCGTATACACTCCGTGTTTCACTGTATGCGGTCGTATTTTACTGTATCAAATAACTCAGTATTAGGATCGTATTTCTTCATATCTTATACGATGGAATGTGATTCTAAAACTGAGTAATGTAATATGCCAATATATGATTGTTTACAGCCATATAGAAGCGTACTTGTTCAACTTAGAGTGTTTTCAGAAGTGATAATTATTATTATTATTGAATGTTGCGATCGATTGTTCAATACTGTATACATTAGAGTGGGATGTAATAATTATAAAGAGTTAGAGAGTGAGTCTGAACATATGATTATGATTAACTAAAATTACACTATTCGAATAATGGGATATTAGACTTTTTTTTGCAATATAAATAGTGCTAATACAACTAATTGTATTAATTTCTGTTTCTTTATAAATCAATATCTATATATATGGGGGTGGCCAACTTGACTGATACCCCGTTTTGATTCAGCCCTATTTTGTAAGGATAAAACCCATTATTGTCCGGGCCATATAAGACAGGATCCTATATAACCCTAGATTGGCCCGAACAACAACATGTTTTATCCTTACAATAGTGAAGAACAGCTACCAGCTTGTCATGTGATCTGCTAGCTTTTCTCTACTATTATAAGCATAAAACATGTTGTTGTTCGGGCCAATCCAGGGTTATATAGGATCCTCTCTTATATGGCCAGGACAATAATAGGTTTTATCCTTACAATAGGGCTGATTCAAAACTGGGTATCAGTCAAGTTGGTCACCCCCATATGTATATCAATTATGAAGAAAAATACAGACTAATGAAAACCCGAAACTTTTTCTAGTTCAAATATTTTATTTTAAAGATATTGAAGTTTCGAATATAAAAATCCGTAAAATCAATATACGATAAAAAGAAATTCTTTTTTTTTATTCACTATATTCAATTATCATTTGAAATTTAAACTAAAATTTTAATACCAATATTAAATAACACAAGCAAATAAAGCTACAATGATGCAACGATAAAGAAAACTTGACCATATTTCTGTAGAAAAATCGATAACATTTTAGCGCATAAACCAGTCTCCATTAGACAAGTGTAGCATATTCAAAGTTGTTTTGTTTACAAAAATAAAGATTTAGTTTCATATTACGACAAGGAAAATTTTAAGAATAGCTTACAATCTCTATCGAGTTGAAACAAAAGTAGAATTAAAATCATTAGATTAATTTCATCGAGTATTTGAGACAACAGGATGTTCCAAATGTTCGTCGTGAATACCTGTTAACAAGTTCTTATGATTTATATCTTTTTTCTCAATATTATAATAGTATATCTCTTAATTTTTTCTTGCTTATATTTTCTGATAAATTTTCAAACATTAGAATACAAATAGTTTTTATTAATGATCAAATTTATGTCACTGATTGTTATAAAATAAGAAATTCAAGTCGATCTCAACATGCAAACGCTAGACATCAACTGTATTAAAGATAAAATTCAACTCTTGTAAACCTAGCACAGTAATAAATCGATGAAGTTCATAATGGTTAAGAAAACCAGTCACTATTGAATGTTTCGGATTATTACAACGTTCCGTTTCATTCAACGAACAACTATGCATCAAATGCTGACTAAATATCTTCTGGTCAAACTATGCAAGATATTATTTGTCAAATAATTTCATGAAAGAGATTCATAAGATCGAGTTAAAATAAAAAAATTTTAATACTAAGTTTAAAAAATATCAGAATTTAATTTTTATTGGCAAAGTCATTTTTTAGCTAAATGATTTATTGATCCGAGACAGGATTAGTTCGTGTTTTCTTGCAGCTGACTTAACTTGTTCTAATTTTTTCAAAAGCTTCGAACCGACTCGACCTACTTCTTAAAAAATTTGAACCTATCCGAAATAGTTCTTAAAAAGTTCGAATGGATGTGACCTAGTTTTTTCTAAAGGTTAGAACCGAACAGTCCTAGTTTTTTCAAAATTCGAATTGTATCGACCCGCCCTTATTTTTAAAAGGTTCGAATCTAATCGATTCCATATGTATTATCAATAAATATCCAGTGAAAACAAATCTTAACAAAAGTATGTAGAACGATCTAGTTGAGTTCAAAATGAGAATCAATAATTCATTCAAAAATAAATTTTCTCTAGTATGTTTTCAAATAATGATTATTCGTATAATTTTTATACAAAAACAAACTCTACAAATTCATGAATAAATAGCTTTTATTGAAATAAAATAGTAAACAAGATCCAGACTCAACTTCATATCTAAATCTTAATAAATATACATTCTAATTAGTTCATTAAATCGTTTTTCTGATATTATTATTCTTTCAACTTATTAGGTTTTTGGAAAAATTTCGTTATCTGCTAATAACTAATTCCAAAACTTCGAAATACACTTCGATCGCCCTTGTTTAAGTCAAATTTACAGTACTGCTTCAAATCTTTGTTTGTTATTTCAGTAGTCATCATCAATGAATAGAAATAATTGCTAATGCTATTGTTTGAATCAATAGCTGTTAAGCACTAGAGAGTTTTACTAAACATTAATATCATACTTTATTAACTGCGATTGACACCTACTGACGACTTTCTCAATTTCAACATTTTTCTTTTTCTGCGAACATTGATTAGATAAACTCTGAAAAATATTTTTTTATTATTTTTATTCACAAATGAGTGTCGATCACTGTGCTACTTTTGAACACTATAAGTAGTCTTTCATTATCAGCAGAGAAATTTTTAATGTCGATGATATAGATTTAACATTTACTAAGTCTAAATCATTTCTATAGAAAAATGTAACTTTCGTTTTATTTTTAAATCAATCTATTAAAGAATAATATTACTAACAATTGTTCTTATAATATATAGATACTAAACAACTCAGCGTTCAATGTAATATCATGACTAATATTGTTACTCGTTAACAGAAGTCTCAATGGATTGGGCCAGATCAAAAATCGGCAACCCATGGGTTACTATTTTTTCGGTGCAGCCCAATCCATTGAGGAATTTATTCAGGAATGTGTCGATATTACTATTTAAATTTTCAAGATTTAAAGCTTTTGAAAAACAAAATATGATGCTTATGTTTTTTAGAGTTTGGATTTCTGAACTTGAACGTTCTCGTATAACAGTTGAAGAGATCAAACCACTTTTACATGATGAAGTTCAATTTCATAATGAAAATTGTACAATTCGTTTTAACAATAGTGATGATGATAATTATGATGAAGAAACAGATATTTATATTCATCAAAAAGATCTATCACAACAAAATTCAACAAATAATCAAACTATTCAACCAATTATTCGCACAACAAATATGTCACCGGGTGAAATATTTTCTACAATGCTTGATAAATATAATGCAAAACCTGGTGGATATCTATAAAAAAAAAGAACCAAACTGACGGACCTGATTTCGGCCTGTATACAACCAAATAATAATGCCATAAAAAGCTGGAAAACAAAGTGCTTTTGTATAAAAACTAAAATAAAAATATTACAATATATATAATCATATGCATTAGCTTCAAAATTTAATCATGTGGATTCAATTTCAATGTTTTTCATACTAGTAACTGAAAATATAAAATTCAAATAGTAACTTTAATAGAACGGTTGTTTTCGAGGGAAATGAAATCCTCACGATACTCTCGAAATTTAGTTTGCTAGCATTCAGAACACGAAAAGAAAAGCTTCTTTTGATTACATAAAGTGATAGAATAATTAGTTCTCTACGAAATTTTCGATTGAACTATATCAATTTTAAGAAAAGCACAAAAGTCCTTCTTATCACTTTTTTCCATAGAAAATGGCGAAACTAGATCTGGAGATTTTTAGAGGTTCTGAACTTTGAGAATATTTTGAGAATTTTTTATTTCCCTCGAAATAAATTTCTCTATACAAATCACTATTTGGATTCTTTATGTGAGTTATCATTACAGAAAAAAATCGAAATTAAATCTGTATGATTAATTTTTTAATTGACTGTAGAATAATTTTCTTTTTGTTTTGTTCAAATACCTAATCCAACAAAAATAAAGAGCAATTTTAACACCAAAATATTGTCGAATATCTTCTAAAAATGATTAGAAAAAAAATGATTTCTAACAAAAAAAAAAAACAATAGATTCAACGGTATATTTTACCAATTGGTTGACGTTGACAAAATGCTTGTGGCCAAACCCATGTTTCACGAAGATGATTTAATCTTTCTTTATTATGTAATGGAATAACTTGCCGAATTAACTGCTTTTCAAAACCATGTTGTACTAAAGGAAAAAAAAAACTTTTATTTCGAATAAAACAAAAACTCTATTGAAAAATGTATGAATTACTTAATGATTGACCAATTTTAAATTTAATTCCATTAATTTCTTGTTTTTGAACAATTTTTATTGAATAAAGAAGATGTCGAACGATTGATTGTCGTTCTTGCGAAGTAAAAAATTTATCTTCATCTTCAACACCTAGAATAACCAAACGAAAAAATAAAATTCATTAAACATAAATAACATTTATTTTTACCTTCATAAAATTCTAATTCATCAAAGAAAAATATTTTATATCCACCACCAAATTCTTGTTTTATTGGTTTTTCTAATTGAAGATCATCAGCACCTTTCAAAAGTCTATAAGATAGAAAAAACAAAATCCATAGTAGAAATCTACGAGTTTCAGACAAACAAGTACAAAAAGTTCGAGTCAACACCATGAAAAATAATATTTCAGAAGTCCGTTCGAGATTATACCAATTTCTACTAGTATTGTGATCAAATAGGAACTAGAAGGAGCTTAGTCCTCTCCTCTACAAATGCCTGAATTCCTTTTAAGTAACAGAGAATAACTGGTTTTTACTAATCAATATGATGTGACTTGATTGCTTTACTATTGATTTTTATTTATATGATTTCAAGAAAACAAATAACACAGTTTATCTGATCAGTTTATGTATATCGTTGAAGTTTACAGCAAAACAGATTATTAATGATGCTATATAAAATACGAAGCCATTCAATCTAATTTAATCTTTTAAGCTTGAAAAACTAGAGAAACCTAACACAATTATCAATGTTGTTTATAATAGAGATAAAAAAGCTGTCATAAAATGAAATTAAAACACAACAGTCAATGATTTTTTAAATGTTACACTATCAACGAAGCGTATATCATCGATCGGAATTCTCGATCTATCGAAATAATTTATTCTAAGAAAATATTAAAACATCAATTCAATATATATTCAGTTGAAAATTGTTCATGCACTCTTTAAATCCAGGCATGAAGATCAGTAGCATTTATCCCTCGTGTACTATTGCTTGCATAGCCTCTAATAAATATTCACCTTTCGTAAGTAAATGTTACATAAAATCCATACACACCTATTTAAATAACAAAAAAGAAAAGTATATTTTATTTATATTAATTTTTTTCAAATATGAAAATATTCTTTTTTTTTTCACCAGTCGTAAAATGATATTTAATCGATATACGAATATCCGGTGCAAGTTGAAGTAATTGTTCAAGAAACCAAATAATCGTATAATCATCAATACGAGTTGGAAATGTTAATAAAACATCACACTCATAATTGGTATGAGCATTGAGCCATAAACGATTAGTAATAACTGATGAAAGATTATTAAATCTTCGACGAAATAATGAATTAACTAGAACAATATCCAATTAAATGATTTCAGAAAAAACATAACCAACAAAACATTTATGTTTTGTTTTTTCATGTACCGTTCGTTAATTGTTCATTTATTATTTCTTTATTATCAGTTGTTAAGTTCATCTAAATAGAATAAGATCTAAGAGTTTTCTTTTGTCTTAAAATACACAGATATTAATGAAAATGTTAAGTATAGATGGCACAAAAAGAAATATTTTGTTCACAATCAGATCGTTGATAAAGACAGAAAAACAAAGAGAAAAATATATATATTGCTCACTAACCACCACCACCAGTTTTAACAAAAGAAACAGAAAAAAAAACAAACGAGTTATAGATTGATCATCATCTGAACATGTGTTTGAAACATAAGGGCGGAAAAATATTTCATATTAGACTCTTTTTTTCTGTAGCGCAATAGTTTTAATTTTTTCATTTCTAGTTGAAAAATTAAAGAACAAATGTATTTTATATTTGATTTTCTTTTATAACACCAACAAAGTCCAATGTGAGTTGTTGTAATACATTGGCTTTTAGTTCACTTATGCGAATAACATCTTCATGAAGTGCTTCAACTGTTGAATCATATTCTGATAAACATTTATTTGTTATTAAGGCAAGACCAAGTATACGGAAGCCACAATGAGCTCCTAATGTAACTTCATGTACTATTGACATGCCTAAAAAAAAAAAGATAAATTCCGGAAGTTTAATTCTGATATCAAAGAAAATAAGGTTTGTTCCGGCTTAATAAAAACTATGATAAGTCTCCTTCCTTCATTTCCGTTATGATTAAATCAAATAACTTTTGCGTTTCTTTTTTAGTTTAATCAAAATTTAAAAAAAAGTTTCTTACCAACAGCATCACCACCAAGAGATCTAAGCATGTTGATTTCTGCTATCGTTTCATAGCAAGGTCCACCTTTACAAAGTGAAAAGACATTACTACTATTATTATTGTTTTTAAAAAATAATTTTGTTTACCTAATCCACAATAAATTCCTTCACGCAATTCAAGATTGTGCTTTTTAGCAACTTGTTTCATTTGAGATAAATATTGGCGATCATATGCATGACCAACAGGTGGAAAACGTGGTCCTTTTTGAATAATTTATATAGGAAAATTTAAAATTCGAAAATAAAATTATCTTACCGAATCTAAAGAAAAAATTAATTAAAAAAAAATACAAATTTATTATTATTTTATTTTTTTTTACCGTTCATCATTATGACCAATAAGTGGATTATTACCAGCCATACTTGGAAAATTTAAATGATCTTTAATTAGCATTATATCACCAACACTATAACCTTTATTGACACCACCAGCAGCACTAAAATTTTATTTAAACAAATTAGAAGGGAAAAAAGAATTTGCATGAAAATCCAACCAAGTAACAATCAATGTATGTGCTCCAAGCATACGCATCACTCGTACTGGAAAGGCACACTAAAAATAAAAAAATTCTAATTATCCAAATTATTCTGTCATCATGATCTATTTTATAAGTTAAAGCATATAGCCTGTTTCTTTTTGTTTCACAATAAAATTAGAATTTTTGACATGCACTCCTGAAAATAAGTTGTAACAACCTTTATTTTATATATATTGTTACTATAAAAAGATAATTTTGATAAAAAACATGACTACATATTCTGAAAGTTCTTGAAGTTATCTATCAACTTCTATATTAATATTTACGTTTCTGCTTATATGACAGAAAAAAAATCAAATGCAATGAAAGTACATCTGTCAGTAGATTTCCACCAATTGACCTTTGTCATTATTTTCCCAATATTTTTTTTATCACTATAAAAATATGCTTTCAAAAAAATGACATTGTATGTTCTGATAGAGATTGAAATTCTCTTTCATTGTGTATATTTTTTTCAATGCTTTTGCATCTATTTATTACATCATATAAATGCAAAGCAAAATAAAAATATATTGGATGATAGGAAATTTCTAGCTCTATTATAATACAGAGTCATTTTTTCAAAAGTGAGAAAACAGTGACAAAAGTATTTTCATTGTATTTGATTTATTTTCTAATATATAAACAAAAACAAAAATATAAATATTTAAGGTGATAGATTACTTCAATAGCTTTCAGGATATATGATAATTCTTTTGTTTAAAATATGAACTGTCACTGTTCGTTTTCCAGTCGCATCTATATATTCAATTAAATACTAAGCTAATCAAGATTCTCTTAAAGATAATAGAAAAATTATTTCTATTTACTGCGGCAGTAGTATATCCTTCATAAGGATGAAATCGACCTTGCATACAAACAACAAAAACTCCATTCAATATTCCAAATACAAGATTGCTACGATGACCAACAACTAATAAAAAAAAAGAACTTTTTTATTTAATTTTTAACAAGTAAAAATATCTTTTTAATTCAACCTGTTGATTTTGGAAAATGTGGAATATCACCATAAGGAATAACGATTTTGTTGACAACTAATTCAGCTAAACCACCAAGACCAGAACCACATATGATAGCTACTTCAGGTTTAGTTGAAACTTTATCTTGAATAAACGCAACAATTTCTTGAACACGTTCATATGTATAAAAACTGAATAAAAAAGAACCAAAACAAAATTATAACAACAATATTTTATTCTATTGTTATATTTACCGATTCGTTAGTGCATTTGGATGTTCACCAATAGATGCCCATGGACCATGTTGTGCAATTGTTGCTGATTCGACCGCTGTTTTTGTACTACTCGACATAATTAGATCTGAATTTAAAAAAGAAAACAAGCGAAAAAGTAGAGCAAGTACAATAATAGTTTACATGCACTGATATCAATCGATAAATTTCCTCAGTGTCACAATGATAAAAGCAGATGGAAGTGATCGGCAAAAGGATCAAATCTTGATTGTTTTTTTTTCTTTTTCGTATTCCTTTTTTTCTTCTCTCGTGTTGTTACACGCATTTTCTCACCCCTCTCTCTCTCTATCTCTCTCTCTCTTTTTTTTGCTTTTTATCATATACTATTTTGGATTGTCTCTTGGTATTCGTCTATTATAGTTACGAACTAAATGTGAATAGAGAGAAGAAAAAAAGAAAGGATACTAGAGACATACCCATACGTGTAATGCGTGCTCGACCTACTTGTGTTTTATTACTGAGAATATAAAAGACAAGGAATGAAGGGGTAGTGCAAGTAACTACGCGCAAAACAAAAGAAACAAAAAAAAAGTTTCAAATTGTTAATTTTAATCTATGTATATGTTTTAACAAATAATATAACAAGATAACAAACATTATTATTTTTGAAATCATTAACAAAATTTTTATACAACAACAACAAATATGTATTCTATACCTAAGAGACAAAAAAAAAACTTTTTTTTTAAACATGATTATCTGATTCTTTTATTGAGCAAGACCAAGATGTGATTGAATAGCATCGATAAAATCTTGTTTTTTAGTACCTGACGCTTTTAATTTTTTATCTCTACAATAATCTTTCAATATTGGTATAGTTAATTTACTTAACTGAAACAAAAAAAAATAATAGAAAAATATTAAAAAAAAAGTTTATCAAATGATTTTTTGTTTTTTTACATACCAGATGACTCTTTGCTGCAGCTTCCACATCAATATTCTCATCATCTTTTGATTTTTTTGCATTACCAGGTGAACCATTTGTTTCACACTACAGATAATTAATTATAAAGAAAAGAACAAAAGGAAGATTAAACAAAAAGAAAGAAATTTAAATTATTTACAACAAGAAGTAATACTTATTATATGAGTTCATATAAAGATTTATACAAGTATTCTTTTTTATAATATATACAAATATAGATTCGCTCATCTATTTATTATTCTTTTCATCCTAATACCTTAAAATATTAATGAAAATATAAAGAATACGAAAAGAAAATTTTAAAGTAAATAATTTATGAATTCCAATTTTACGAACAAAGAGAAAAAAAAACCTTATCATAATGATGATACTGTGAATTTGTCAATATACGTATAATAAATGAAGATCGTAAAAAGTATTCAGACAAAAAATAAATCAAAATAAAATTTTTTTTTAACTATCTAAAAATAAATGTCATTTATTTTAAATGATTGATTTAAGACATTTGTCTATTACTAAATTTCAAGTGAATTGGGTAAATGATCTCAAAAAAATTTTATTACTTGTTACAAAGATTGACCCATAAAGAATAAAACATTTTTCTCTTTCGAACAAAACATAATTTATTTTCATACCATTCGATAGAGAATGTTTTTCATGTCGATGAAAGATTACAGATTAATAATCATTCAACTAAAGTCTGTAGACATTTATGAATTTGTATTAACTTATGCTTATCAAGTGTGGTATTAAAAGTAAAGCATTTAGCATCAACAGATAGAAAATTTTATATTCTTGGTTTCTATCATGTTTTCAAGGTTCCCGATCGTGTTGCTAAGAGCTAACAGCTAGTGATATTTTGAATTAAAAGCAAATCATAGCTTTGGCTTATGAGAAAAATATTTTTGATAATTTTTTCGAAAAATGCATCAAAATATGCGCAGTATTATTTAAAATATATTTGAAATATCAGCGAAATTACGACTTAAGAAATTTTATCATTTCGTGAGTCTTACAATTAAATGATGGAGTAGCTTTCAATCCTGGGAATCTATCGAGTGGTATATAAAGATAAGCCATCTGCGCTCTAGGTGTAGTTGTCGGTAAATGAGTGCAAAAACAAATCATTCTCATACGTAGTTTCTCAGCTCTTAGAGCTTACAATTTTAGCTCGACTTGAATTACGCAGATGGATATAAAAAATAATTGTTGGTGATTGTAAATTTTAGGTACTGAAAAACGAAGTTTTTCAGAAACTTTCTCCTCAAAACACTGACAACCATTTTCATCGCCATAATATTTACAACAGCGAAAAAAAAACTTTCAAATAAATCTGATCGAATTCATTTTAAGGACTAACTATACATAAAATTATGTTTTTAAAATAAACTAAAAATAACTTCTATGGATTAGAAAAAAATTTTATTTAAGTAAAAAGCACTTTATCAAAAGTAAATAGCGTACGCTAGTACTTTTCAAAATAAAGTATTATGACATTCATTTGTTATTTGATGAAACCTATAGAAGCACTTCAAATTACAAACTAAGAAAAATACAAATCATGTTCTTTTTATGCTTGTTGTGGATAATAAGAACGAATCATAATAAATTTCAATTTCTTCTCTTCTGCAATAAACGACTACTTGTCATTTGAAAAGTAATGGAAAAAAGTTGCACAACAACGAATTTTTTTTTCTATAATGTTAAGCGCCTAACTCAAATTCAACTAAGAATTTTAATAGTCAATGGAGTTTTCAATCTAATGCATTCTATAATAAGATTTGTAAACAATCGGAGGTACCAGAAGCTATTTTAAAGCGCCAAAAATGAAGGGTTGCCGCATTTTGTTTGCTTTAAAATAGTTCTTGAGGCCTTCGATTGTTTGCAAATCTTACTATAGAATGAATTAGATAGGCAACTTCATTGAATATTAAAGTCATTATCTCAGCAACAAGAATATTAAAAAAAAAAATAGGATCGAAAATAAGAGACAAATTGATCATGAAATAATACCCCAATCAAATCCATATTACATTATTATTAACAAGTACTTTCCGGCTGATAAATTTCAAGTTCTTCATAAATAGTTATTATATATCTTAATTCAGTCATCTTATTGCATTGAAAATTTTCCGAATAAATTATAAACAAACCTTTCGTTTAGTTGCTGATTTTTTTGTTGTACCCATAACATAACCAGGTGGAAAAATCATTTGTTTAAGTTCATCAACATATCCTGCAACTTTTCGATTTTGATTTTCAACACTTGGAATTGTTAAATCAATAAATTCATCAGGTTCACCTTTATTTAAAGCTGTTGCTTCAATATTTCTCCATAATGTTTGTAATGCTGGATTTTCAAATTTATCTGGACGATATTTAAATTTTAAACCACGTATAACATTTTTAAATAAATCAACTTCATCATTTGCTGCACGTGTTGTATCATTTTTAGGTAATGTACGCATATCATCAGCATATGGTAGATAATGTACATGAAAACCATTCGAGGCTAATCGATCATTTTTAACCTTTTTATTCATTTCTTCACCTTGAGGTATAAGTGCAACTTAAGAAAAATAAACAAACAATAAAAGCAAAAGAAAACTCGTGTTGTTTTTTGTTACCAAGACGTGGTGGTGTATTTCGCCTAGCGGAAAATTGACATAGAATAAACATTTTTTTTTCTAAACATTTTTTTAATAGAGCATTAAATAAACATGAACTTCCTTCAACATATTTTTCATCGGGATATATAAAATGTCCTGGTTTAACATAATGATGTGGTAATAAACATGAAAGACTTTTAAAACCAAGTAATTCAAAACCGGGATCACCAAATTTTTTTATTGCTTTTATTTCATCTGCATCAAATAATATACGACGATTTGATACATCTAAACCATATTGAATATCTGACGGCATGAGAATTTCAGCTAGACAATAAAAAGAAAAAGAAAACAATTGAGATTTTTTTTTTTTTTTGTTTCAATAATTATTTAAATTTATGTTTATAAACCTGTTTCAGGAAGATAATGTTTTGTAACAATTTTTGTTTCCAAATTTGTTTTCATATCTAATTTAATTTTTGTTGGTTTTGGACAAGGACGAACCTATTAAAAAAACAGGAATCTAGATTTCATAATTATTGACAGAGAATTCATAGCAAGTCAATATTTTTGCCTGAAGAATCTTTCTATCGATTAATAGAACGATAATAAGACTTTTGCTAGAGGTCAGTAATAGATAAGCAACATTCTTAACTTTCTATATGGGTATATCCATAGGCAGCAACATTTTCGAAAAATCTTCACCGGAAAGTAAAGACTCAGGAGAGCGAATCTTTTTATGCAATTCAATTGACATAAAGTTAATTTTCATTATTTAATTTTAACTCTCAAAAGAAAACTTTTCGATCTTTTTCAATGAAAAACAGAATAATATGAAAGCACTAGTGCTCCCAAATAATACTTAAATTACATTGTGACTTGGCTCATTGTGTTGAAAATGTTTATTATATAGGTCAGTTTAATCACGACAGTCAAAAGAAATTGTAGGATAGCTTATAGTTTATTTAACATGAATTTCCCGTATAATTCTTCTTCATTCGTAACAAACGAGTACTATTTTAAGTTATTCGTAAAATGTCTGGGTTCAACATTTAGTAATGCAAAAGTCAATATTTCCTCATGAATGTTTTGTAAAGTCTAATGCACTACGAAGATGCCACTAGTTGTCGTCATAAGCAGGAAAATATTTTGATGCACTATGTAAACCTAATGACACGAGAAACACATGTTCGAGCCTATTCAAGCATCGTTGCTTGCTATTCACATAAAATAATCTAACATTTAATCAGATAATTTTTTCATTCAAGCTTTTAAAGCCTATTTGATGATGTTATAGCATGCTCATACTAATTATAAGAATAATTAGCATGCGAATCTTGTTAGATCATCCAAGAAATTAAGCATACATTAGGATGTAAAGGATAGTAGTATTCTTTCTAAATAAGACGTTTCTTGTCTCAATAATCACAAGAAAATAGATTTGTAATATCAGAGATTTACATATTTCATGAAGGTGATTTTAATTCCTTATAATTCTATCTATGATTGATTGTATAATTCGTTACTTCTTTCGCTCTCGTAAATTCCTCCTTTGATATGATTTACAAATCAGAATATACATTTGTTTTCATCTCGTCAACAGAAAACAAATCTATACGAAGGATCACTGAACTTTTCTCTTAAACAAATAGCGAAATGAATTAATTATATGATTTACAGAATATCAAAAAAGAAAGAAAGATGAAGCATGATGACAAAAACAAATGTGCGTATTATAATGACTATAGTGAGTTAAATTCCAAAATCAAAATTTCTTATTTTTTGATTTCGAAATTTTTTTCTCAGGAAAACTTTGTTTCGCAAATAGATGATCTTAGCTGCAATAACTTATGAAATTTGTTCCAAGGACTTCAGGTTTGAGTATAAACGAGGCATCGGTTTTCCTAAATAGGTCATATAGAAAGAACGATCAGATAACGGAATAGGGAAGGGAGTCAAACATTTCTCAACGTCCAGATATTTATTATGAATGTTTTCACATACAACTTTCGCCGAACGTTGGAGAAGGATTTTTAAACTCTGGTTAGAAGAAGGAATAGTAGAAAACAGATTGAATAGAGCTTCTAAGAAGAACATACTGATTTTTCATAAAAACCAAGCTTTATGTATTTGAAGTTTTCGACAAACTTATAATTGTCATTGTCAGGAAAAAGCAAAAATGATAACATGTACAATCATTATATTTGTGTATGTTGCTGTTGGCAATTTTTTATCAAAATCGACGATACGAACGGTTTACCTCTTTTTGATAACTTGTCTATTGAACTAATATGTTGTGTCTTGACAAAATCGATTGCTACTCATCAAAGTCTATTTTAATGTGCCATATTATATTTAGTCAGATAACGCCATCTTTAAGAAATAATCAAATTCAAAAATAACCGATGTGTCTGCTACAGACATCTACACAGAAGCGCAATTTCGACTGAAATTTAACATTTTTCTAAGAGTTTAAATACGTGTACTTCCTTTAAGGATGGTTTCTAAGAACCTATATTAATTCAACTAATTTGTTCTTCTTGATTATTCATTGTTATAGTAATGATAAATCAAGACTTTATGTTTGCTTTTTGTTCTTTGAACAATCAAGAAAAACAAAAAATTAATACATTACCATATTATAAACTGAAACAGAAAATTCCAATGGTGTACCATCTGCTGCTTTGCCTAATGAAAATGGAACAGTACAATAAGCACGTTTTTTATGTTCTTTTGAATAAACAAGTTTTAATAATTCATTTAATCGTCCTGTTGGTTCTTGATTATTTCTAATATCAAGATCTTCATCACTTAACATTAAAACATCTTGAAAAAATTTTTTAAAATCAAATCTTGTTATTGTTTCTGTTAATATTGGAAATACTTCTAATTGAATACCAACATCATTTAAATCTTTAGCTCGTTGTTTAGCTTGTCGTTCTAATGTTAAATTAGATGCATGTGGTTGATCATTACATGTAAATATAAATATACGTTTCATAGTTAAACGTTGTGGTGAATTTGAAAATAAATTCGAACATGTCCATAAAGCTTCATTTAATGAATAACCAGTTGCTTGTGTTGAACCAAATAATTCATCATATTTAACTTTATATGTATTTTTATCTGACAATGTTTCTAATTGTATAATACGTTCAGCTGATGGTTGTGCTAATTCATGAAGTATATAAATATGTTTAAAATCAAATGCATTAAGACTATTTTCAGTTCCATAAAGAATAATTCCACTAAGATCTTTATCATTTGAGATTATTTTTGATTGATAAAAACGTTGACAAGCACGCATAACTAGTTGAAAACCTGTTGTTAATTGTGCATCTTCATCATCATCATCAATCGATGAATCTTGTTTCATTTGATTAGCTAATGATTCAAACATTTGCGGTGCACACTCGATTAACATTAATGTACCATCACGAGATGTTGTAATCTAAATATATATAAAGAATAGTGCTTATGTTGTTTTAATTAATAATAACATAAATAAATTAGATTTTTTTTTACTTGTCGTCCTTGTTGATTATCATCTTGTGCTTCATCATCAGCACTACCACCAGCACCCCAATTTTGATCAAGTAAAGACATCTGAAATAAATTCAATTAATCTCGTATCGATTTTAAATATTAATGAAATAAAACATAAGGAAAACAATAGACAAAAGGCTACCTTATGATTGGAGAATCGAGATTAGAAAAATTTCATAAAGAGAAAAAATAGCGAAAGATAATGACATCTGCTGATATCAAATATCAGCGACATCATTTGGAAATATATTTTCAATTTGATTATGGATAATATTCTTTAATATTTTAATATTTCTCAATTCTGAGATAGCCATATATAGATATCTCTAATCTTCGAAATGATCAAGAATGTTCTTTTTTCTTTTGTTTGTGATACATGACCGTCACGCTTCATTTACTATACTTTTTCACCTAGAACAATCTATTCACAAGTTTGTTAGTTACTCGCTATTTATTTTTTGACACGATAGGGTTACAATGAGGTCAAATATCTCGCTGTTTATCGTCAATAACGATTATCGAGGATATATTATTCTATGCCTATCAGACATTTGTAGTCGTAGCTAGAGGACTACATTTGCTGATTTTCTAGATGAAATATATATGAATAATTCGAAATAGAATTTGAACTCAATTGGAAATACTTTTAATGGAAAATATCAAGATTAAGATTTTTTAATATTATTTTCAATATTGCTTTATTTGTTTAAATCAGTAAAATTCTTTTCAACATTTAATTCTAATGCTTTGATTTGTTAGAAATAAATCAATTTTATACAACGTTCAAAATCGCTCATATAAGTAGCGAATAGTTTTTCTTTCATTTGACGAATGAATCGAAATACATTTTGATAGATGTTTTAAAATTCATTGCAAGCATAATCTCATATCGTACAAATATTAGACTAATTTGCTTTTCAGACTTTCCTCTATTCAACAAAAAATCAATTTAAAATCTATGTTATGGTAAAAGTAAAGTTTTTTTTTTTTTGTAAAGTAATGTATTATAAGTTAAATCGGGAATGAATATAGACAAATATATGTCTTTTATTTTCGTTTGATATTGGATTTATTGTATAAGAATTTCAAGCAAGTGATAATTGTTGAGGTGTAGCAAGTGGTGTTGTATTTAAATAACTTGTATCAATATCCCAACTATGAGGTTGATCAACTTCAGCATAGAAATGACGTTGTGTTGGTGCAAGTGTACTATGATAATCAACTAATTGTTGTTCTTGTAATGATGTTTCCAATGTAATTGGTCGTATAAGACGTAAATGATTAACTATATAATCCGGTGGAACTTTCCAAAGTGCCAAAAGATAACAACCAATTAATACACCAGCACTTCCTTTACCACGAATACATTCGACAACAACACCCTGAATAGAAAAAATATTTAAAAAATCATTTAAATCAATGAATAAAAAAAAAAAACGAGAATTGACCTCTTCACGTTGTCGAGCAATTTCCATTCGATGAACAAATTGTTGACATTGTTGCATAGTTGGTGCTCCACCATCAGGAACATTTATTGTATGAACATGTAAATCAGCTCGAGATTGATTCGGTATTCCAGAACTATATGTATCACTTATAGAAATAACTGTATGAATACGTTGTTCAAGTAAATATCGAATATGTGATGCATGAAATGGATGAGCACATATAGCTAAACGTTTATCGATAATCCATTGAAAATAGGGTGGCATAGACGCTTGATTATTCATTTTTTTTTTCAAATATTTGTTTCTATGTTTTCGAATGAAGTTTTATAGTAACAATAATACTATCGTATAAAAATTGCTCTTTCTTTATTCTTTTGCCGTTGTTAAGTTACAGCCTCCTTAAAAATCAAATATAAACGATTTTTTTCTAGATTGTTGTAGGAATGAATAATTAAAGAAAAAAATTTATTAAATATACATACACTCATATATCAAATGATTACTTTTATGTTGAAAATACGTTTAAGAAAATGATAATGAAATTGAAAGAGGTCATCGATCATTAAACAATTGCTCTATAGATATTTGATCCAAATACTTTTTTTTCTTCAGGAAATGTTTTATCTTTGCTATTTGAATAAGTGACTTTTCAAAATGATCTTTCTTTTCTACAATAAGGCATATACAGAGACTTTCGATTTTAATTATCAGGTGTTTTGCTTTCCATCTTTGTCTTGACCGATGGACACATTGCACGATCAAGTGCGAAAATTTCTTTCTTCATATATGTCGATAAGTATCACAAACTGGTCAATCGGTAATATATCATTAGGTTTCCTTTCGACAACCTAAAGTGTTATTTGTCCTATTGAAATAGAGAGAGAGAGAGAAAAACATTATGCTCAATACTATAAAGGTTTGATCTATTAGACCTATAATTCCTAATAATTCCCATCCTGATTAGAGCCCGTTGACTTGGTCTCGGAGCGATCCAACTAAGTCATACTCTAAAAGTAACAGAGAATGATAACTTAATTATTAACACAATACCGATAATCGATAAAAATTATCTCAAATATTTGAACTGACTATAAGACTCAGATTAAAAGACTTTGTTGGAATTAGAAGTACGATTAGTGTCCAGGTTCAAAAATTTCGAATTCGACAGACTCTAACCCTGATTATCTTTTAAAATCTATTCTATTTTGTTCTCATTAGAAATTTATTTTTAAGATTGTTTAATTTATACGATGCAATCTTCGTGAAACATGGCTCTGAAGAAGGACTAGAGATTTATTCATGATTAATCAGAAAGAATAAATATATACAAAAAAGAGAAGAATTCGTATCTATAACAAAATAAACAAAAACACACATTCGAAAAAAATGGTTTTTATATTTATGCAAGTTCTTTTTGTTTTGATGGTACTTTATTTGGTAAATCTGGTACATTCGGTAATTGCTTGATCATCAATGCAGTTGAATGCATTGAAGATTGAATTTTAGCATGTCGAGCTCGAGTGTCTGCTGTAATTGAACTTGTAAATGAATTAACAAAGTCTGCTACATTTCCACCTTTGAAATGATTATATTTGTATTTAATAAAATCACATATTGTTCTTGTTTTTTTCTTATTTTTATCGCCTATTTGAATAATATGACCGGATATGTGAAGTCTTTTCGAACGCCATAATATTTCTGTAGCATGTATAGATTCCATTTTACCAAAATTATTACCACCGTCAGTAAGTATAAAAAAATATAAAGATAATATTTGATTACCAAGTATTGTTTTCACTTGTTCAATTTTCGTCAGACAAAAATCAATAGAATCGAACAGTGCTGTATCTTTACCTTCACATTTTAAATGTTGCAACATTGTTAAATGAGTTTCATTGATTATTTCGAAATCAAATTGTTGTAATGAAGATGTATTAAATGTAACTAGTGAAACTTTCTCAGTCATTTTATTCAACCTGTAAAAATGATATATGCAATAAATAATTAAAAAAAAAATTATTATCAATAATGTTTACTTTAGTTTAAAGAAATCGTTTAAAAACTGTATAGCATATGTGAATCGACTTTGCCCTATGGCAAAAGGAAGCCAACTATCGGAATACCACATTGAAGTACTAGTGTCAAGTAGAAAAAGATAATAAGTAGGAGGTGTTTCTAAATTAAACCGGTATTCATCAGCAATTTTTAAAAGAGTATAATTATCTATTAAATCATTTTCGTTAATAATTCGACGACATTCTTCTGCTGGGCATATTCTTCCAATACATCCACGATCAAAGGAAATACCACAAGGTCTATGAACAACTGGTTTTGTATATATTTGCTTACAAACTTTACATCTAAAATCATCATTGTTTGTCGCCATTATGATAAGATGGTGATACACTATGACATTACGACGTATTCTTATCTGTTTATATTCTTCTGTTTTTGTTTTCTTTTATCATTTATGTTGGAAAATGTCTTTTTCTGAGAATGTCATTGACTTAAAATGTCCTCTTTGTCTTTGTCGTTTTTATGATCCAATTATTCTTGATTGTGGACATACATTTGATCGATCATGTATACAAAAACTGATAGATTTAAATAAATCATTCAATTCAATACAACCGAGTCGATGTCCTCTATGTAATTTTACGTTTAATCCAATAAATCCTTTGATATCGAATAAATCTTTAAATAATCTTATTAAATACGAACCAACATATGAATGGTTTTTAATTGATATAATGTCACATGAACAAAAAATAAATGCTCTTACATTCCTTAAACGTGTATTTAATAAAAGGTAAATGAAAACATATGATTAAACATTTCGAAGAAAAAATAACAAGAGATTTATCTTTTTTGATTTTTAGAGATATATTTCAAACACATCATATTATTTTTGAAACTGATGCAGTAAGATTAGTTTTTAATTCTAAAATAAATTTTGATCAAGAATTAAAACTACAATCTTTAACAAATTTAAATAATATGTTACAAGAAGCTTGTGATTATTTACAACAACAAAATGGTCTTCGAAAAATTTGTATTCTTACTGATGGATTAACAAAACATTCGAATTTAACAAAGATTAACTCGAATATAATTAATCAACGTTTTATTATTCATATTGGAGATAAAAATATTACATGTACTCGTCAACTTGCTGATGATATTAATTTTCATTTTGAACATTTCAATGAGAAAACACTCGATATTTATGTACAACATTTCATAATAAATTTTTAAACTAATTATTTTTTTATAAACAAGAAAAAAACAGCCATATACATATCTTTTTCGAATATTTTAAAGGTGACTATTATCCGTTTCAAAATAGAAGAGACCTTAGCGTTTTTTTAATAACTTTTGAACGGAACATGATAGAGAGCTGCGGTTTTGACCATTGGACAGAGAAATGTTGGGGCCAGATTTCAATACAAAAATTTGATTGGTTCATAAT